ATCCAGTGTTGAAGCCAGATGATTATGGCTTCATCATGGTCAGCATCATCATCATCGTTGTCGTCATCTCGTCCTTTTTAATTCGCTTCAAGTGTCATTACATCTCCAAGTGTTTGGAGAGTACTTTAACGTACTCTTTAACGTACTCTTTAACGTACTCTTTAACGTACTCTTTAACGTACTCTTTAACGTACTCTTTAACGTACTCTTTAACGTACTCTTTAACGTACTCTTTAACGTACTCTTTAACGTACTCTTTAACGTACTCTTTAACGTACTCTTTAACGTACTCTTTAACGTACTCTTTAACGTACTCTTTAACGTACTCTTTAACGTACTCTTTAACGTACTCTTTAACGTACTCTTTAACGTACTCTTTAACGTACTCTTTAACGTACTCTTTAACGTACTCTTTAACGTACTCTTTAACGTACTCTTTAACGTACTCTTTAACGTACTCTTTAACGTACTCTTTAACGTACTCTTTAACGTACTCTTTAACGTACTCTTTAACGTACTCTTTAACGTACTCTTTAACGTACTCTTTAACGTACTCTTTAACGTACTCTTTAACGTACTCTTTAACGTACTCTTTAACGTACTCTTTAACGTACTCTTTAACGTACTCTTTAACGTACTCTTTAACGTACTCTTTAACGTACTCTTTAACGTACTCTTTAACGTACTCTTTAACGTACTCTTTAACGTACTCTTTAACGTACTCTTTAACGTACTCTTTAACGTACTCTTTAACGTACTCTTTAACGTACTCTTTAACGTACTCTTTAACGTACTCTTTAACGTACTCTTTAACGTACTCTTTAACGTACTCTTTAACGTACTCTTTAACGTACTCTTTAACGTACTCTAACGTACTCTTTAACGTACTCTTTAACGTACTCTTTAACGTACTCTTTAACGTACTCTTTAACGTACTCTTTAACGTACTCTTTAACGTACGAACAAAATGACTACAGATCTATAAACGCGACAAATAATTTCTGCATAAACATACAAATATAGAAAAACAGATCATCTATTAATCCCACCGGTTATCTCGTAACAGGGACAATCGTCATTGCTCAAAGCGAATTTAAACAAAGTCAGGGTTGGAGAGAGAGGAGACGGCGGTGATGGGGAGAGGCAGGCCTGGCGGACGAGGCAGAAGAAAAGAAAGCAAATGCTTAGAGCCCCCCCCCCCCCCCACGTGTTTTGGCCTACTCTTCCGTACTGGAAGAGGTGAGAGGGTGTTATGCCCACACTTTACCCCACCACACGTGATCTGGCCGATCGATCAACCCATTAACACCACTGGGTCGACGCGGGCAGAGGGATTGATTAAACTTGGCCATCGATTCTGTATCCCCCCCCCCCCACCTTCCCCTACACACATGTTTGTGTTCGTCACCAGGATCCTACTGAAATAATAAAAACATAAAAAAATATAATTTTAACTGGACCATTGTTGCCTAAATGGAGGACTGCAAACTTAAAATCCCTCTGAAGAAATAATACGAATATCGGCGTTACCCTCTCCAGCAATAAAACAGGTCATCTTGGTTCTTTCGGTAAAGTCACGTAGAAGGGAAGTAATAAAATAAAGAACCAAGATGATGAATCCCTGCAGTCACGAAAGCTTTAAATCGAAAAATAAAACAGGTGTTAAGAGGTTCAAATACCAAATAAAATACCCATTCCAAGGCGTCAAGTCTGCATTCACCCACACGAACATGTGGCCAAAACATTCCAAAAAACATGCTCTGACGATATACGCATCGTCTTTTCACCAGAGAAGCTCCACCTTTCTTTATGACCCCCCTTTCAAAAAGGTCCCATTGGTATACATGCAAACAAAGCCCTCCTCTCCACGCAAGGAAGTCGCAAATACGTTTCTGGAACCTGCGCTGGTTTGGACGAGGGCAGCTTCGTGCCGAGGAGTTTCTTCTTGTTGAACGAGCGAGCCGTGATGATCGCCTGCAGGTCCTCGATCCTCTTATTCGTCTGTCACGAACACACGGTGGTCAGGACAAGGATGCCCCCCCCCCACCATAACCCTGCTGATGAGACAGGTAAAGTCAAAACCGGTCCAGAGCTTTGCTCGTGTTGAATCATACTCTTTGGTTTTTTCGGTAAAGTCACGCAGGTAAAAAATAAATAAATACAATAAAAAATACGGGGAAAAAAATGATCAATTAAGATGCAACTCCCACAAGGCCATGTGGCCGATGGGCTGTAGATTTTTTTCATATCTAAAGAAATTAAATATGCTTTTATTTCAGAGCCACTGGGGTCAATGACCCCCCCCCACTGGGTGGGAGTTTGTAGCAGCAGCGTAACGAACAGGGGGGGGGGCAGGGGATGTCTCCCCCCCCCTTCGGTGGCCAAAGCTACGAGTTGGGCCCCCCCCTAGACAATCACCACGAGTTAAGTTGTTGTTCTCTTTGCACCGTGGAAAACTGATGCGATGGGGATTAGAGAAGAGGAGCTGCGATATACAATAGCCTTGGTGCGAGACAAATCAAATATTGGGGGCCCCAGCTGACCGATATGTCGCAACCCCCGAGGAGATTACTACGCCACTGGTGCATCGTCGTCATTGACGGCCACACTTCCCAATATAAACTCGCCACACTCGCTCGGGAAGCGGATTCCACAAAGGCCGGCTTTCCTGGGACTCCAACGCAGGATCTCCCTCCACAATGAGGATCAACGCGCGTTTCAGAGTATTCGGCTGCTATAAAGTGGCACGTGATGAGCCACTTTCGTGGAGCCGTCATTAGCGGCCACATCGCTTCTGATAAAGAGCTACACACTAGAGCTCCATTGGGCATTGTTTGATAAAATATAAGTTTTTGTAATAAAATAAATGTTGGCCATACTTCACCACGCTGGTGAAGGCGGGTGGGTGGAGGCGGGGAGCAGAGAGCTGCAAGAAGTGACAATGGATTTTGCCCCCCACTTGTATTTTTGCTGCTCACAACAGAACCACACGCAGCCTATAGCACCTGTTACGCACGTTACTCGCCCATCCAAGCGCTAACCCCTCCCCCCCCCCAAAGGCTCAAACCTGCTTAGCTTAGATTTGGTTAAAGTTCGACTACAGAAATTCGATTAGGCATTAAGAAATATTGATTAGTATCAGCACCCGAACTAACATCGCCAACCCCAGGCAATATATATATATGTTACTTCTAAATTTGAAGTTTTCGTGACTGCAAGGATCCACTCTTTGGTTCTTTCGGTAAAGTCACGTAGGTGAAAAAAAATTACTAAACCACGACGTTTCGGAGGCAACACAAGCTTCCGTCATCAGGTGGGACAACCAACAGCAACATTTGTTTTTACTGTAGTGGGCAGAGAGCTGTATGTGACACGTGTTGGTGCGGGTCTAAACCTTTACACGCGGCTTGTGACTTAAAGCGACTGCGAGACCCTAAATGAAGCTTCTCTCCGGACCACCAGTGGTGATGCACAGAGTTAGCACGGCAACGAGACGGAGCGGCAACAATCAGTCGCCTGCAGGTGCGACACGAATTGTTACATCGAATTAACGACGAGCTGCGCATGGGGGAGGCCTTCATGCAGCAGTGGAAATAGTATTACCGATGATCGAGTGGATTTACATTCTCAACTATACCTGGGGACTTGCATCCACTGCTGGATGAAGGCACTTCTCCCAAGCAACCATCCAGCAGTAGATTGAGGATGGCTGCTGCTGCCGATGATGATGAGAATTATTATTTGGCTACGAGAAATCTCCGCACGATAAGCCCCAAGTCGCCTTTTGACAAAAGCGGCATACAGGTCGCTTGGTGAAATTAAAAAGTTTTAAAGGTTTCGTTTTTCAGTGTAATTGCGCGCTCACCTCTGTGTATTGTTGACTGAAGCCTTGCCTTAGAGACCGAGTCGACGGCTTCACGGGAACAATCTCTTCCATCGCGAATTCTCACGGGCCCGCCCCGAAAATTACAACAATAATCTAGTTGTTTTTATGGACGTCAAATAAATGTACACACACACACCACGTGTCACCAATTCCTGGAAAATAAAACAAAGACATTAACATTATAGTATCACATCGGGGATGTGGCCCAGGCTGACCAAATCGTGCTCGGCTAAAGCCACCCACCCACAACCAACCACTGTGCCACCATTCCAAAAGAGGGGGGGCCCGTTTAATCGTCGCCCATTATAAAAACTCGCGTGATGGAGCGAACATGCTTGGCCAATTATGTTATCAACCACCTAATTAATTATTATGGGAGGGTGTGGGAGGTGGTGGGGGTGGATTACAATCTCCTTTGTCCGAGACGGTGTGTGTCGTGGGTGAGTGGTGCACGGGAGTTGAATCGATCGTGTGCCCTTCAAATTGGTGGTGACGCTCTGACTGCGGTCTTCCTCCCCCTCTTGAGTCCGGCTGTCGATGTCGAGGCAGATCACCTACAAGTTCACACTCTCGTGGTCAAGCCACAGACGACGGTGATTTTAAATTGTGATTGCGGTGATTAAATAGTACCGATTAGTGAACCATTGTCCGTGCAAGTGTCACGCGTTCTATCGTCTCGAGTTGATTCAAAGCAGTGACTTCACCCACGCACAAGTCATCTGTGATGCGTTCTTCGTTTATCACCGTGAAGATGGACACGGGGGGGTGGGGGAGGAGCTGGGCAATAATGAAGGACGTCTGGTGACATTTGTAATAAATAAAAATTCAATCAGGGCACACATCACCACCACTTTACCGACGCTAGATGCATTGTAACACGCTAATTGATCCACGTGCGTTTAATCGCTTGATCAGGAGCAGCACAGCTGACGCACGCGCGCCCCCGATGATATTTAAGGGGATGATCTCGCAGCACAGAGATCCGTAGCGCGCATTGCGAAACACGTTCGCTTTGTGGAGTGTGGTCTGCCACCACCACTGCTATCACAGAGCACGATCGTGTTCTTTTAATCGGTAACATTTCTCTTAAGTTGTGCTGCGCGTGCTAATCACAATGGTGGGCTTCCCCAAAGACATCGCCGACCCTGAGAACGCTCAGCCTCCGAAGACCACCACCACCACCACCACCGCCAAAAGTGGCACCGTCAAACCGGGACCAGTGCAGGCTCTTGCCAACCTGCAGAAGGCGACCAAGCCGCCCGACACGTTGACCATGGCCGTAGACGCCGTGCGTGAGCTCGCCGGTCGGAAGGGCGCCTCCGTGATTGCCATCCGCTCCCATGTCGTCAGTTGTCACCCGGACGTGGACCAGGTCCGGCTGAAGCGGCTGCTCAAGAACGCCCTGGCTAAAGGCTTGGCCACGGGAGTCCTGGTGCGCCCTGGTGGGGTCAACCCGGAGATCTCCTCGGCTGTTGGCCGCTATAAGGTGGGCAGAGGTGGTGGTGCGGTGTGTGGCATGCTCGGTTTGGGTGGTTCTCAACGGCAATTTTAGATTTGGTTGCTAATAAAAAATAAATTTGTCCGTAAATTCGGACCGACGGCTACAATTTCGCATTCGTTTATTTTTGTTTCAACCCAGAAATCCTGGGCCCAACATTGTTCCGATTTAAATGTACTAAATAATTAAAGTGACTCTTAGTCTAGTTGTGCCATCCCTTAAAGCATCCCAACTCTTAAGTAACTGCAAGCGAATACAGAAAATTAAATAAGCGGACGCTAAATGCGTCACGTAATTTATTCTCGCTCGCTGGTTACCCTTGCAAACATTGACGAGCAAATGCGTTCAGAAAGGTCTTTTTAGATTGTTCTAATTTTCCGTATATTGGCAGATTTCATAATATTCGCCAATGACTAATGCATGATATAATTTCACTTAAAAATATATCTCCGCGCGTAGCCCCTGCGGCATGGCCACGTACCCGCGGATGAGATCGCTCGCTTTGTCTCGGTTTGTGGGCGGGTTTGTTGGTGTTGCGATGTGCCTGGCCGGGTGGAGGGGAAGGCAGGCGCTTTGAATCTTTTATAAACCTAAGGTTGATGCTGGAATTCTTGAGGTGGATGGATAATATCCTCAATGTTTGTTTTTGGAGTTTGTAGGTTGCTACCTGAGGTGTGGGATGCGTAGTCAGTGGCTTGGTAGCCGTAATGCTGAACCTCACTTTTGGAGACCGAATTGCCGGATATTGCCAAGACTCTCGCTACAAAGGCCAGCGTAAAATGGAGCCGCAAGTTGTCTGCCAAAATGAAGCCGACTAAACATTACAAGCGGCAATTGTGGTTAAAAATCTAACTCTGCAGTGCACTGTAATATATAAAGGGTTATTGGGTTGGAAATGAGCATAGAAAGTAAGTTCTCACACTTTATTTAAAATAAATTGACCAACTTTTTAAAAGTGTTCTGGTTACATGACTTGTACGTTATCTACGCATAGTACCATGGGTCGTACATTCCCAGCCTTACACGACCATATTTTGGAATGGTCCTAATGTGGGTTTTGCGTTGCCCAAATTCAGGTGACACCCCCCCCCCCATCACGGAATGTAGTTCCATCTACCCTACACACTATTTACTCTTGGCTCTCTCCCTCGTCCTTGTCCTCCCCTAACCCACCACCAGCTCGGGAAGCCGGTTGCAACAAAGGTGAAGAAGCTGAAGGCTGCTGTAGATGGCAATGTGGAAGAGGCCCTCGTGGAGGCCCAAGCAGGCAAGTGGGCCTTGGGCCAGGAGAGAAGGCTGGTTGCCCTGGGAATCTGCTTGGCGTCTTTGAGCTGCCAGCATTCAATGCAGAGGTTTAGGTTTTGCCGTGGGTAGGAGCAGTGCTGCTGCTACAAGTACATCGGAGGGGCTCGGGTGCAGTGCTAATGTAGGGGAGGTGGAAATTTGAACAGGGAAGACTTTTTAATTCTTTGCAATCGGGCCCATGTTTTAAAGCAATTACATTTTTTTTACCACGTAAGGCTCAGGAAGTTTTATAGCTTTTTAGAAGCAACTGGGCCACAATTGATAGTTCTACGAAGTGGCTTGTTGCCAATTCCACTTCAAGCATGTGTCTAAACTGTGGAGAGTGGTAAACTGGAGGACTGGGAGAAATCTACGCTACCATGGGAAGAACATGCAAACTCTAAATATACAGGCGTCGGTTCTGGCTCGAACCCACGACCTCCTGTATACCAGGCGAGGTAGTTGCCATCTCCCCTTAATTGGTTAACTTTATTGGGAGCCAGACAAGTCGGGCTCTTTGGTGTAAGGGCACTTGAGGACAAGAATTGGTCCTTAAGTTGCAGACACCAAAAAATTGACAGTTGGCATTGTGTTTGCAAGCACAAATCAAACTAGCAACGAGTAATTTTTAAGACCGCCTCCCTAGAAAAACCACAGGAAGCTTGGTCTTGGCACACTGTTTGGGAGCAAAAACCTAGGAGTTTATCTGAAGTGTGCTTGGAATACAGCAGCAGCTCCCCCCGTCCTCCCTCTGCAATGAACCGTCAAGTCTCTCACTCTTCGGCGTCAAAATTTGAGCCGCGTATGGAACACTTTTCTTCCTTCAGGCCAAGTGCAATGCTCGCATTCACAAATGCGTTAACATAACACAGTACTTGATGGCATTGTGCACTGACTTGACCATAAAACGATGTTGTGACTCGTGTAAACAGCTGACCATGCCTCAATTCTTGGCTTGAAAGACATTCTCTTTTTAATGAAAATTAAATCTTGGTTGGCTAGTTTTCAGTCTATGTAATAATAAATGACTAACTTTAATGTACGTTATGGCTACTTGCATACGACGAACCCGTTGCAATTGTGTTCTTGTGACCTTTAGGAGCCACCAAAAAGGCGAAAGCTCCGAAGGCTGCAAAAGCTTCAGCAGCTGTGAAAGTCGACGCATCGGCCACCGAGGTGAGCTGATGGACCGGGAGTTGCGATGTATTAATCGGCAGCTTTAATAGCTGGGGCACACGCCACTTTCAAGACTGTACAATTTTCTTGGTTCTTTTGGTAAAGTCACGTAGAAGGGAAATAATTAAATCACAAATGTATAAAACTATAAAAACTAAACTGATATTTCTATTTTATCATTTCCCTTCTACGTGACTTTACCGAAAGAACCAAGAATATGAATCCCTGGAGTCACGAAAGCTTTAAATGAAAATTTAACGGTACCATTTGTTTGCATTAATGTTAACGTTTACATGATGAAAGCCGTGTACATTTCGGTGGGCTCCCAAATGTACATACCAGTGGGGGGGGGGGGGGGGCCTGTCCAGCTTATTCTCTCGTGTAACGGAGTATGCAGTAGTTTGGCGTTACGGACTCAGCCCGCTAATAGGAAACGTGCACTTTTGACCATTTTCCTTAACCAATGACACGCTGTGCATGTGCACTTGTATACTTTGGGCAAGGGCCTCGTGCCATGCGGATCAAGTGTGGGGGAGGGGGGGTTAACCATACTTCACCAATGCGGATGGGCGACGACACGGCGTGAACTTGGAGCGTAGTATAATGCAATGATTTTGCTGCACTGCCATGTTCTGCGTCAAATGTGGCCTTCATGCATACAATGGGGATATAAGCCTTGCCGATTGTCTTTTTTTTTCAGCGTGCAAAAAAACCAAAGGTGGACGCTAAACTCGAAGCCACCGCCTCTTCCAGCGACTCTTTAACCAACGCAACCAAAGCGAAGCCGGCCAAGCTGAAGACTACAATAGTCGAGAAGAAAAAGGTCGTGAAAAAGCGGACCTCCCTGGCCGTTCTGAAACTTGGCTCCAAAAACGCGGGCAAGGAGGCGGAATTAAATGCCAAGGCACCTCGAGCCAAGAAGACGACTGCAAAGCGAGGAGCCAAGGTTTTGCCTGCGGCTGTGGAGACTGGTGGTGATGCTGCTGGTGATGATGATGACGAGAGCCATGGCACGAAAGCAAAAGTGCCCAAGAAGACCAAACCAACGGTAATGAAAACTGCACGGGTTAAGGTGGTAAAGATTGACGCTGATGAAGCGAAGGTTAAAAAGCCCAGGGCTGTTGCCCCCAAAAAGGAAGCTGCACCAAAAAAAGTAAAAGTGGAACGGAAGCCAGCGGCCTGAGCAACAGGAGCGGGTGCTTAATGTTCTGTGAATTTCAACGCCATAGTTTTTTTTAATTGCACTAAAACATTGTATCCAGATCTTAGTTTTGTAATTGTTCAATATTGCCTTTTTTTTAAAATAAAGAATTCAACTTTTTATTGCTGCTCTGGAACACTTGTAAGGTGCTATAAATAGTACCATTTCAAAATTGAACCCGTCCTGTAACCTAAAGCAGAAACTGTATGCAGCACGGAAACGGAGGCACTTAAAGGTGTGCCCAGGCTGACCCTTTTGCACGCAGTAAGGTGGTAGCAATGCTGTGAGGTTCTGTCTGATCACCCCTGCGTTACTTTCAAGGACTATGCCAGACTCGTAGCTTTATCAAACATGGCATGGGCAAAATTTTTGTAGTTTTAACATTTTGCTGAACATTTTTGGAAGCTAAAAGGTGGTGTTTACGTGTCTAGTCCTTAAAGTGGAATTTGGATGTTTAATAAATCGTGAGCTATGCAATGTAAACCACTTTCCAAACAAACCTGGGTAGTTAATCCATATTTAGATACTTGCATAATCTACATTTACAGATACGTGGTGCAAGCTGGAAGACCTTTTGTCTTCATGTGAAAGCCCAGACACGAATCTTAACCTTTGACCGCAGGGACTTGTTTGGAAGTTCATATGGCAACCATCCCAGTCGAAGGTTTTCATTGCATTTACATCCATGAAATAAACTTTTATAATCTCTCTCTCTCCATTGACTTTGCAGTCCTTGTGGGATGTCCAGAATACCAACAGCAAATCAAAGTGCTGATTTTACAATGGTTGAGTTGCACCATGTTCATTTGCTTTGAAACCATGTTTTAGTTGCAAGATGCCAATAAATTTCGATTTAAAGCCTTCGTGACTGCAGGGATTCGTCTTCTTGGTTCTTTCGGTAAAGTCACGTAGAAGGTAAAGTCCCTTCTACGGGACTTTACCGAAAGAACCAAGAAGAAGATGCCAATACTTGCCCCGTGTAATTTGCAAAAAGCATTTGAATACACGGAGTTGAATGCAATGATACATTAAATGTGGCAGTGGTTGAGAAAAAATTGACGCATGACTGTCTGCTAGAAATACCCAACCATAGTTTATATACGGCCCTAAAACTCAAGATGGTAAGGCCCTATTTGCCTAGGAAGGAACGAACTCAAATGTTCCATTGCCCTTGCTCTATGCTGCTAGTGGCTTGTTACGCTACACTTGAGCAAACTTCATAGGCTCACTGAGATGATGCAGAGCCCCCACCACACATGGGAAGTCGAGTCCATGAACAAGATTTCAGCAATTTAGTGACGGTAACAAACCTCCATTACACTGATTATACAAATGGTGGTGCATTTGTCCGTGTGGTGCAAGTGTGAAAATGAACTGAGGAAATGGGTGAGGCCCAAGTTTAAATGAAGAGCAGGTATAACTACACAAAGGGCTGGTACTGGTAGGAACCTCCTGGTTACACCAAACCACGGGATTGTGTCCATACTCTTAGTTCTTTTGGTAAAGTCACGTAGGTAAAATTAATAAAAATAACGTTTTGGAGGCAATACACAATCGGTTAAGATCCGAATCTTAACGGATTGTTCACGTTTTACGGTGACTTTCAGACCGTGTTCCACTCACTGGCATGGTACAGTGTGCAGAGTAATGTATGGTGTCGTAATTGTATAGTAAATATATAGCAGTGTGATACACATTAGGGTGGGTAGAATAATACAGTGTTATATTAAAATGGATAAGGTAGCAACTGCAGCAGCAGCAGAAACTGCAGCAGCAGCACCTGCAGCTCCCTTTGATGCTGTTAATCCTGCATATGTAGTACTAATCACATTCCTGCATTTCCCATAAATATGCTAAATTCCTCTTGATATGCAAATTCCTTTGTCAAGGCGCCCAACTTATATATATGCTCCAAGCTCGTGTGCTGTTTCATTCAGACTGTCGCCTCCGACGGACCTGGTTTTCACCTGAGGACGGCTGCTTGCGTTGTGGCCGAAACGTCTTAAGAATAATTTTATTATGTTTTATTTGTATTATTTTATTACTTCCCTTCTACGTGACTTTACCGAAAGAACCAAGAAGATGAATCCCTGCAGTCACGAATGCTTTAAATCGAAATATAATCAAATGAATTAACTATTTTATATGTTTTTTCATCATGTTTTATTTTTATTATTTCCCTTCTACGTGACTTTACCGAAAGAACCAACAAGATGAATCCCTGCAGTCACGAAAGCTTTAAATCAGTAATACTGTTTACAGAAAGTTCATAACCTCCAAGGATGTAATTTTAAGCAATGGCTTCAAGAAAGAATGCATTTGCTTGCAATAACTATAAGGATTTAGTGAAAGGCTCAGGAAAAGCCCTATTTCTCAAGTTACCAAAAATGTAAATTTAAAGCTCTCAATCGCCAGCCCATTTGCCATCCCCATCACTCAACACTCATGACACGTGGCTTTTCACATTGACCAAAGTCTCACCCTTCACACGTTTATTCCAGCAGGCACTGCACAACAGCCCATTGTTAGTCATATCAAGCTTGCCACGAAGGGAGGGGGGGGGGGACTCAACCACAGGACCTGCAAAACTTTGGGACAATTTACTCAAGAGCAGTACAGGATAATTCTTGCAAGTTTTCTTCACAAGCTGTTGATTTTAAGGTGGGGAACATTTTCCTTGAAGGCCAAATCGGATTAAAAAAAACACTTTGGAAATGCCAAGCATGAATACTCACGACTGCAAGAGGCCCTTCCTTGCAGTGAAAGGAACAAGCCAAAATTCGAAAAAGTCTTGCCTGCTCAAATATTCCCCTCCAGTACTAGATTGTCACAAATAACACACTTGCAGTGATGGATAAATATCGTTCTTGATGTTTATTTGGGGTTGTACCGTGGTGCTATTCCTCACGATGTCCGATGTTTCACACCACGTGCCGGAAGCTTCTTCAGGAACTAAACTCGATCAAACAAAATCGGCGGGGGGGGGGGGGGTGCCACCGTATCCCAAGTCGGAGGCCTCGCGTGGACGCCGGGTGTACCAGACTGAGTGCCCCGTGCCCTCCCCACCCCTGTGGTGGACAAGACTCGTGAGCGGCCGTGCCTCGAATCCAGAACAGACCAGACGCGCCGAGGGGGAGGAGAGGAGGGGGGGGGGGTCTGCACGAAGGACGGCCGATGGAAGGACCAGGATGGGGGGGTGGGTCTTCACGAGGCCGAGTCGGACGCCTCGGAGCTGTCCTTGAGGTCCGTGCTGCACGTGGCCTCGCTCGCGTCCTTGCTGTCGCCGCCGCTGCAGTCGTCGGCGCCGTCGCGGGCGCCGCGTCGACCCGCCGCGATGGAGGCCGCCGCCTTGGACTCGGCCTGCCCCGACGGCGTTGGCGGCGGCGTCATCAGCGCCTGAGGGGTATCGGTCTTGATGTTCAGCTTGCGCAGCTGTACGACGGGCACAGGTTAAGAAGAGGTACGAGGAAAGTGACGAATAATGTTGGTGTTTATGTACTCCTTGGTTCTTTCGGTAAAGTAACGTAGGTAGAGAAATAAAAACTAGCGGCGTTTGTTTATTGTCACTGAGAGCAGAGGGAGATGGCGATGTTTGGTTATTGGTCAAACTCAAGACACTGAGCTTTACAGACAGCTATTGTTCCTTTTTGTATTTTATTTTACAGTTAATAGACCCGTAGTATAACCGGGGTCGGCCTGCCAGATTCAAACCCTGAACCTCTGCAACAAGCGACGAGTGCTCTACCGCTGGGCCGTGATTTGCCGAGAGAAGCGACGCGCAGTTAGGGAGCAGCATTTCCGAGAGGGGAACAAGACAGAGAATTACACGAAATAAGCCAGTTGTGACATTTTTTATTTGGGCATATTTGGGGTGAATAAAAACGGAGACGATGATGTAATGAAACATCCGTGGATCTTCGGCTATGCCAACTGTCATTTAAACAATATTATTTATTGCAAATGTGTAAACACATATAAGGGACTGCGAGAAGAAAATCCTCTAAAGCAAATAAATAAGTGATTAATATAGTCAAACGACTTGTCAGTTGAAATAATTGTGCTCACTTCCCATTGGCGATCTCTCACATGGACAGCTGACGTAAGGAGCACGTAATCTGATTGGGGGGGGGGGAGTGGGTCATGATGAAACACCCAAATAAGATTGTGGAGAGATTAATTTGGACAAGCCCGGAAAATGTGAATTGTAAACGAGGGGTCAGTTGGAGGAGCGTTCGAGCAAAACGAAGGGGATTGGTGGAAAGACAGAGAAAGTTCTAGAAGGGTGAAAAAGACTAAACTAAACTTTTTTTCTATTTTACCAGGTAAGGCCCACTCAGCTATATAACTCTTTTTCAGAAGCAGCCTGACCACAAATAAAAGCTCAACGAAGTGGCTTATCACGTGCAAATTTCTACCAGCCAAACACTCTAGCATGGTTGGCTACGTACGGTGAGAAAGACGTTTGACATACATGTTTATAAATGTGGAGGGAAAAACCAGAGAACCTGGAGAAAAATCCACGCGACCATGGGGAGAACATGCAAACTCCAAATATACAGCCAGTGGCAGGGTAGGGATCCAACCTACGACTTCCTGTAGTTAACAGGAGCCGATGAAGGGAGTTTGGGGCAACTGGAGTGATTGGCAGAAATTGGTATGCATGCTGCGGGCTGTACGCACATTGACGAAAAATACAGAACGAGTTATGAGGTTTACCCGACTGGAAACGAGCAGCTGTCAGTGTTGGGGCAAAGGCTCTCTCACCTCATCACCCATCTGTGCCAGGTCTCTCTTCATGGCGTAAGCATCTTCCCCGTCGGCATAGTATTTGGGCTCCACTTCACTGACTCTGCCGTGACCAGGAGGGGCGGGGAAGAGGTGGGAGAGATGGAACGTTGACACAACACGCCGACAACCACGTAGGCGCAAATCAACGTAAGCCCGTTTTTGCACGAGTAAGTGAATAAGCCATCGGCCATTCGTGCCTGTGTTCCTCCAACACATTTAAAGGAATCTAATGAAATAAAAAGCAAGATACATTCATTCTAGATTTGATGTTTTCGTGACTGCAAGGATCCATACTCTTTGGTTCTTTCGGTAAAGTCACGTAGGTGAAAAAAGTAAAAAATAAATAAAAATAAGTAAATTAAATCACAACGTTTCGATTGCAACACAAGCAATCATCATCAGGTGTGACAACCACAGCAAGAAAATGTTATATATACATTGATTGACACTTGGGTGTTACACAGAGTCATCATCATTACAATCAGTAATGCTACGTCCACAACTGAAGGCCTCCCCTTGGCGGCACCATCCCCCATAGTTTTAACTTGCAAAAGTTCCATCTGCGCATTTGCTGATCTCATGATTCCATCTCCACGGTGGGGCCATCATTCCACGACGGTCAATGTCTCGTCCACTGACAGTCGTTCCTTATCGCGTCGTGTCCCTGTTCCGAGCACACTTACATTGGGCTCGGGGCAGGACACTTTGCAAACGTCTTTAATCAATTCCTGTAGTTAATTTTCAGCGGTTTTTATAACGACAAACGGAATTTGACAGTGACTATTACCTAAAACGTGTTTACAAGTTTGTAATCGGTAACATCTCCGGCACCTCCGATTAGCACAGTTGGCTACGTACGGTGCGAAAGAAGTTCAACAAACATAACCATGCATCAATTTATACCACGAATGTAAAATGGTCCCACTTACTGAAACTTGAGCGTGTTGGAGTAGAGGTGCAGAGCTGCCCGGTTGCTGCAGAGGAAAGGAGAGTGATTTCATTTGTACAATTCTACTCTGACCACGCATTAACTCCCATGCTGTGGTCTCTCTTGGGACCACCTTACCTGTTCAGTACCACTGAGCCGTTGATATGCATATAAAACTAAACTCTTTTTATTTTACCAGGTAATGCCCACTGAGCTGTATAGCTCTTTTTTAAATCCTTTATATTAAGTTCGCTTGCTTGCGTGCTTGCTTGCTTACGACCGTGCAAATCTTTCGGTCGTTTTTTAACCCACTTCCCGTGATCCAATCGAGCTGACATTTTCCACACAGATTCGTTGTGCGAGACAATTAATGTTCGTGAATTTTTTTTTCCAAAATTTTACACTGTTTAGGGAAAACAAATTAAATATTTAATTACCAATTGCTTAATACTGGCAGAAAATCATCTGACCCATAGGTGGCAGCCATCTCAAGCCAGAGGACGAGAAGTCTCTAGCCGCCACGCATATAAAGGATTTATAGTGTTTAGAAGTGACCTGGCCACAAATGATAGCTCAACAAAGTGGCTAATCACGTGGAAATTTATAGCAACCAAATACTCTAAATGCACGTTTCTTGTGTTGTTGCTTTTCACACTGAACCCATCCACCACCACAATTCCATGAATGGCCACGATTAATAATCGCGGTTGGATTTAAACAGCAATGTATGTCTCTCGTTAGGCCTGCCTTATTCGTGTTATCTGTCTCGTATGTTCTCTTCTGTTCGCTTCATCTCAGTTGTTCCACGAGCCTAATTATCACATTTTGCATGTACTTTTCCCCAGGAGTAAATAATCAAATCTCACGGGCACAGCTCAATTCAAGGACCGTGAGAGTCGAAATCACTTTTGATCAATGGATAATAATATGCCTACCAGTAACCGCAACAATGTTTTCTGAACGAGAAAAGGAGGACTAAAGCATTGCTCATCAGTACGCTACAATGTCAATCACAAGCTACTCCGGTGCTAAGAAACCAGTGGGTTCTATGCGATGGTCATCAACCTGCACAGCGGCATGGCTGCAAAGCCATGGCGTGGCCCGAGCGCTCACCTCTTGCGGACGTGCAGGGACACGTATTTGGCGTTGAAGTTTTCGATCATGGCACGCGATGCCTGGTCCATCAGCTTCTGTGCCAGGCCCAACCGCCGGTGCGAGCGCTTCACCGCCTGACGCCGGGAAAGCAGCAACGGAGACAACACACAAATCTAGATTGAACACACATCTAGATTGAACACACAAATCTAGATTGAACGCACAAATCTAGATTGAACACGCAAATCTAGATTGAACACGCAAATCTAGATTGAACGCACAAATCTAGATTGAACGCGCAAATCTAGATTGAACACGCAAATCTAGATTGAACACGCAAATCTAGATTGAACACACAAATCTAGATTGAACACGCATATCTAGATTGAACGCGCAAATCTAGATTGAACACACATATCTAGATTGAACACACAAATCTAGATTGAACGCACAAATCTAGATTGAACACACAAATCTAGATTGAACACACATATCTAGATTGAACACACATATCTAGATTGAACACACAAATCTAGATTGAACGCACAAATCTAGATTGAACACACAAATCTAGATTGAACACACATATCTAGATTGAACACACAAATCTAGATTGAACGCACAAATCTAGATTGAACACACAAATCTAGATTGAACACACATATCTAGATTGAACACACAAATCTAGATTGAACACACAAATCTAGATTGAACGCACAAATCTAGATTGAACACACAAATCTAGATTGAACACACATATCTAGATTGAACACACAAATCTAGATTGAACACACATATCTAGATTGAACGCACAAATCTAGATTGAACACACAAATCTAGATTGAACACACATATCTAGATTGAACACACAAATCTAGATTGAACACACAAATCTAGATTGAACGCACAAATCTAGATTGAACACACAAATCTAGATTGAACACACAAATCTAGATTGAACACACAAATCTAGATTGAACACACAAATCTAGATTGAACACACAAATCTAGATTGAACACACAAATCTAGATTGAACACACAAATCTAGATTGAACACACAAATCTAGATTGAACACACAAGCTGTTGATGATGCTGCTGCTACCGATGCAACAACCCCACAACCTTCCCCCTGGAAAATTCGATGGACAAGGTTCAGAAAGTGTACGTAATAGCTCTGTTCATCCCCCCCCCCCCCAAGTAATTTAGACTAATCTTCCCGCAGGCCAGACAGACGTCTTGGTAAATGCGGAAGCACCCACACTTTTGTCCCCACCACACACAATTGTGGCGTACCCATTTATACTGCCGGGTGAACATAGGCCGTGGAATTTAAGAAACCTACCCATCATTTAAACTGCTGTGCCGGTAGATCAAACCGAGAACCTCTGGATTGCAAGTCCATTGTGCATTCTTGAGTAACCGTGGAGCGTGGGGTGGTTATAAATGTGGTGGTGCTGTGACTTCACTACCCCCCCCCCGCTCACCAGGGAGGTGATGTGGCCATGTGGGGCATCGTCTGGGTCCTCCTCCCTGCATGAGTTACAAAAAGAGCAGAGCCACCGCACAATTAACACCTTGCATGCAAAAGATCAATACGAGTAAAACATCACCACATAAAAACATCAAAACGCACGTGCTAACTCCAATTCCGATTGTTTGGTTTAATTATATAGCTACAATTGAAGGAATTATATAAATTGAATGTGCTTTGTGTTAAAATCAGTCCTGTATTATTTCCAACCTCCCCCCCCCAAACACCCACGGCCTCGTCCCAGTCGTGCGTGCAAGTCCAGACTCAAAATCTAAGCAGGATGTTAACTTTCTCAATATCTTCTGAATTTCGATTTAACCTACCCACTGGATTTAAAGGGCCAGTCAGTACTGAAACGGTTAATTAACAAAGTGATGGGAAATCAGTGAGTCAGTTGAATTGGAGTGAGGCCCACTGAGCTAAGAATCGCTTTTTCAATAGCAACCTGTATTATTGCCAACACTTGAGTTTCTTAAGTATCAGATTACGTATCTTCTAAACTAACCAAACCACCTATTTCACATAAACAAGCAGCAATGACTAAACAAAGGCTCCAAATATAAATATCGCTTACATTTTCGCCAGCACGTAGCCCACAATCTTGCCATTTTCATCCTCGGCCACGTACGAGAGCTACAGTACACATGGATGAAAATGTTAATATTGGCACATTATTATGTGAAGGCCGCATCAGTGTTTATTTTAATAGCATATCCAAAACTAGGCGTGAGTAGTTCAAATGGTGGTCACTGACTGCACCTGCATGGAGTCGGAGGGTGTAGATGACCGCCTATGAAAAACCGGGGTCTACGCAAGTACATACTAAAGGCCTCCTTTTTGCCAGTACCAAAATATAATAGTTTTTTCCCCCTTTTTTCTGGCCAAAAAACTTAAACCTTTTTAAAAGGAATCATGTTTACATTAACCACAATAACCTGCGGTCAGAATGCAAACAAAAAACACACTATGATAATATATGCATTGTCCTTGAAATTGATTGGTCCACACCAGAGACAGCTTTCCTTAGAGCCTAGTCTCATATGGTGTTCGACCAGATGACACCAAAAGGCGCACAACTCATTCTGACCGCAGGTATTGTGGTTAATGTAAACATGATTCCTTGTAAAAGGTCGCGGCGTTTATGTGCGCGGTGTGACGGAGTCGCCAAAAATGTATTAATTACGATTTAGACTTCCGTTAATTCGGGACTCCGGGGTTCCGCCATAAGGTTCATATGTTTGGACACGACTACTTTTGCTGTGTAACTGCATTATTACGTCACCTGGGGCCAGGAAAGCCCATGGTAAAAGTAGTACTTCATCTGGTAGTTCTCAGGCAGGCACAGCAGGTTGCAGTGCTGCATGTTCATGAGGTCCTCGGGCTGCGAGCACGAGGTGGGAACACAGAGAAAGGCAAATCAGATGATGATGTATGCTGAACTTCTTTCGCACCGTACGTAGCCAACAGTGTTCATCAGAGGTGCGGGGGAAGAACAAACTAAACACAATCTCAGTTCTAAAGAACTGAGATTGTATATATATGCATTGTCCTTGAAATTGATTGGTCCACACCAGAGACAATCTCAGTTCTAAAGAACTGAGATTGTCAAGCGAGATGATTGAAAAGTGCTCAGCTCCAGTGGTTTCCTAATATCGGCGGGAAGAGCGTTCCAGACGGCCACAGAAGCGCATCTGAAAGCGCGCGATGCGGTGACTTTGTTCGATGGCCAGCAGCAAAGAGCCGCTGCTACTGCGAGGATAAAGCGGAGTTCACGTGATTGGTTATACTCATTGACGAGATCAGGTAGTTATCGTGGTTCATTTGTGTCAAGCAGATCAGGTGTCAATACGGCCGGCCTCGACTCTTGAGATATGTTTAACACAAACTCGGTTTCGCATTCATGTTTGTGATTGTCAGTGGCTTACAATAGATTGCCTGTATTGATCATGACCACAAAAAATCAACACCTTGATCAATAACACTGCCTTAAAAAATTACGTTTCGGGCAACGACCCTTTTTCACAACACGTAGATCACTGCAGGCGCAGTATATCTATTTCAATACAGACCTTAATCTGTATGTATGTCTTAAAAACCTCCAGGGTACTTCCCGACAAGGGAGAAAGCTGATATTTGGTACTTTTAGGTCACAAATAGAAAAAAAATCTGAAAAATCTGAGATTTTTTAATTTCAAAGTCCCCAAATCTGATTTTAAGTGCCCCCATAAACATGTTTGTGCGTGTCATTTAAAAACCGTAAAAAATATAAGATTGCTGGATTGTTTTGCTTGATAGAGCGTTAAACAGCAAATACTATTAAAGCGAGAACCATTGATCTATTTTTAGTCTTTTGAGATATTTCGGAATAAAGCGGTTTTTAACGAAAAAAAAAGCATTTTATGTTCAAAACGGAGTATTAAGTTCGTAATTATTTCTTTCTAATAACAAAAAAAGGAATATTTAAATTGAACAGTTTATGATGGGTACGTCTTTAAGTATAACAAGTTGAATCAAGTCAACATTTTTTTGTCTTTTTGCGGAAACATCAACATTTTAGTAGTTGTTAAGTGTCTGATCATCGATACAAATTGTAACAAATCATTCCAGCTTATTTATTATCCTTATTGAAACACCTTTGCCCGGCGAAGGCAGCAGGCTTTATACACTAGTTCGGAAGGAAGTAAGTTGATGCACGAATGACTTTGATACGCGAGTTTGACAACTCACAATCAATAACTCGGAATGAATGAATTAAGAATGAATTGAGATGATTGATTCGGGCCTGGCCGCACGAGGCCCGGACCTCTGGCCAACTCTCACCCTGGCGTTCCGAATGTTCATGGTGGAGCTTCTCTGGGTCGTAGTGGCAGTGGACAACCCGGCACGAGGAGAGACGAAACGTCTCGCGGACAGAGAGAGGAGGAGGAGAGAGACGGAGAGAGACGCCGAGAGAGACGAAGCGACGATCACCCCCACGCCGCCTGCCCCTCGACTAGTTCACAGCGGAGCGAAGGACCCCGCAAGTGAGGTGACGTCACGGGGGTGGCCACGGCTGGCGCCTGGTTTACTAGCCCCGCCCCCTTCACCAGCACCCCCCCCCCCACCCTTACTAACCACCACCCCCACCCACCCCCCCAGCACCACAACCACCACCACCACCCACTCCACCACCGCAACCACCACCCTTACTAACCACCACCCCCACCCACCACCACCCCACCCTTACCAGCACCCACCCCTCCACCACCCCTCCACCACCACCCTTACTAACCACCACCACCCCCACCACCACCCCCACCACCCCCCACCCACCCCCACACCACCCCACCACCCCTCCACCACCCCTCACCACCACCCCACCCTTACCAGCACCCACCCCTCCACCACCCCTCCACCACCACCCTTACTAACCACCACCACCCCCACCACCACCCCCACCACCACCCCCCACCCACCCCCCACACCACCCCACCACCCCTCCACCACCCCACCACCCACCCCTCCACCACCCCTCACCACCACCCACCCCTCCACCACCACCACTCACCCCTCACCACCACCCACCCCTCCACCACCACCACCCACCCCTCCACCACCACCACCCACCCCTCCACCACCCCTCCACCACCACCACACAATCCACCCCTCCACCACCACCCACCCCTCCACCACCACCACCCCACCCTTACCACCACCCACCCCTCCACCACCCCTCCACCACCACCACCACCACCCACCCCTCCACCACCACCCCCACCCCTCCACCACCACCCACCCCTCCACCTCCACCACCACCACCCCTCACCACCACCACCACCCCTCACCACCACCACCCCCCCACACCACCACCACCCACCCCTCCACCACCACCCACCCCTCACCACCACCCACCCCTCCACCACCACCATCCCTCACCACCACCACCACCACCCCTCACCACCACCCACCCCTCCACCACCACCCACACCACCACCATCCCTCACCACCACCACCCCTCACCACCACCACCACCCCCCCCCCACACCCCCCCCCCACACCCCCCCCCCCCCACACCACCACCACCTTCCCCAGCCATCTGGGACCCCACGAGGTCAGAGTGTTGATGATCCTCCATGGGCAGCAGTGATGGGCAGGGTTTGTGGCCACGCAAGGCGGCTGATTAGACCAACCCAAGAACCACACAGACACATGTTGTAGCAGTGACGACAGCGCGTGTGTTGTCGCTGCTGCTGCTGGTTTGTGTGTCCCGACTGACCCGGGTGAAGCTCTTTCCTGCGTGGTCGTTTGTTAGTTTCGTGATGCTGTCTTTGTGACTCAAAGTCGTGTGTGTATGTTGAACTTATTTCGCACGGTACGTAGCCAACCGTGCTAATCGGAGGTGCGGGTGAAGGACAACAAACTAAACACAAAAGCCAGTTCTAAAGAAATCGGGTTTCAATCTACATGATTTATAGCTCCAGTGGCTTCCTCATATCGGAAGAACGTTCCAGACGGCCGCAGAAGCGCATCTGAAAGCGCGCGATGCGGTGACCGCCGTTTTTGTTCGATGGCCAGCAGCCAAAAGCCGCTGTACTTCGCTTGATGGGTCATATTGCTCCTTGACGAGACGAGACGAGCAAGATGACGAAGCGTCGAACACCTTGGAAGACGAGGGATGTCCAAGACGAACAGGCGGCACTGCAGCACCACTGCGGTCTACTCCGCACGTGCTATTATTACACGCTTTCTATTAACTAACTCTGTTGTTGTCGTATCCTCAAATCTTGTAACTCAATTTTAAGCCACTTCCCAATGTGGTATCGACTGCAAGCTTGGTATACTTATGTCTTACTGATGACAATACTATATTCTATCATAAAAAGAAATATTTTAAACAATCTTTTTACACGCTTTCTATTAACTCACTCTGGTGTTGTCGTATCCTCAAATCTTGTAACTCAATTTTAAGCCACTTCCCAATGTGGTATCGACTGCAAGCTTGGTATACTTATGTCTTACTGATGACAATACTATATTCTATCATAAAAAGAAATATTTTAAACAATCTTTTTACACGCTTTCTATTAACTCACTCTGGTGTTGTCGTATCCTCAAATCTTGTAACTCAATTTTAAGCCACTTCCCAATGTGGTATCGACTGAAAACTTGGTATACTTATGTCTTACTGATGACAATACTATATTCTATCATAAAAAGAAATATTTTAAACAATCTTTTTACACGCTTTCTATTAACTCACTCTGGTGTTGTCATATCCTCAAATCTTGTAACTCAATTTTAACCCACTTCCCAATGTGGTATCGACTGCAAGCTTGGTATATTTATGTCATACTGATAACAATACTATATTCTATTTTGATTTAAAGCTTTCGTGACTGCACGGATTCATCTTCTTGGTTCTTTCGGTAAAGTCACGTAGAAGGGAAAAATATATATATTTTTTATTAGTTTGTTGTTTCCCTTCTACGTGACTTTACCGAAAGAACCAAGAATATGGCACATTTATATTTACGCCATCTAACCCAACCCACCCGCCCCCCCGTATTATGGCTATGGGGCCGTCCATAAATGACGTCACGCGATTTTGGATTATTTTGACCCCCCCCTCGTCACACGGGGTCACAAAAAGTCAGACCCCCCCTCAAATATGACGTCACAAAGCTCTGCCCCCCCAAAACCATATTTCCATTTTGAAAATAAAAAAAAATGCTTCAAATCGCTTGCAACTATTGTCATTGTAGTGCGTATTTAATGTGGCGCTGCACTGTTTAAGTATTGTTATAACAATTTTATATTTATTTAAAGTTGCACATTTTGATGTGACGTCACATTTCTCACCCCCCCCCCCCCCCTAGGTGCGTTACGTCATTTATGGACGGCCCCTATTGGTCGCGAAAGCCGACGTCTTAAACCAAGTCTCTGCTCTCCGGTCAAGCTGCAATCCGCACTGGCCATCCTCCTGAAGGTCAAACTACCCGAAAGGCATGGGGAGGGGAGGTCTCCATTCCAGCAGAGGGTTTACAAAAGGCTCGTCACACAGCACGTGTGCACGCTGTAGTGCTCGCTATGCCGAACATGTTGCAAGTCTCGACGAGATGGGCATTTAAAATGCATTCGGTACGAGACAGGTTCCCACGAGAATTAATTGTCACGATTTGGACAGCCATTCGTTTCAAAGGTTACCGTTTTAACGATTTGGGCCGTTTAATCCATACGGACTCGTTTTTACTGGGTTTCGTTCGTGCCATCTCACAGGGCTATACCTAATAAATGAACTGAAACTGTAACACTTTATCTACTCGAGTCTCTTCTGTATGATCTCACCTCGTTTCTTCCGTTTGGTCTGTCGAGCCCGGTTCCTTTAAACGGAGGAAAGAGCAACAGGGAAAGAGGGCAGCGAGAGAACGTGACAAGCAGAGTAGGGGAAGATGATTAGGCAAGTGAGATTGAGATGGGAAACAGAGAAGTGGGAATTACGAGAGAAACCGGGAGATAGGGGAGGGAAATGAGCTAGATACCGTGGAAGGAGGATGGTACATCGAATTTGAGAAAGATGGAAATAAGGTAAAGCGTGAAATCGAGACAAATTGCTACATACAGTACAGAGAAGGCAAGAGAAATGTGGAGAGACGGGGCTCTATACGAATACAAGTTTTGCTGGTTGAGGGACGGACAGCCACGTCCAAAGGATATGCGGGTTGCTCATCTCGATTAAACGACACCAAACTACATTACAACTTACAACTTCGGCAATACAAATGCGTAGTGGGCACTTACAAAGGGTGATGTTGAAACGCAGTGGAAGCCCTGGAGTTTATGAAGTTTTTGCAATATTTATTGCAACCTTTTTTCCACACAACAATCACATTTCCTTTAATTTTCTCGTTATTTTTAAAGAATTTAAATTATGACCTGCTGTCAAACATTTCTCTACCCCCTCCCCCCATCCCATAGCTATTTCGTGGATGTCACCCTGAAAAAAAAACCGCTGCCGGCTTGAAGCAAATAAAAACAGAACATATGCAGAGAAGCGCATGAAATAAAAACGTCAAAATGCATTTTCTTTTGTTCTTAGGAAAAGCCGCAATAACCTGGCAGTGGAGCATCCCACATGACACCGGTGGGTGATGAACTTTGCGCCAAGATTTGGGAGAGGTTAACGCAAAAAAGGTACCCATCACCATGTCCCCTGGCAATCCAGCGTGAGCCGTGCACAGGATAGCACTCGATAGGGGGGCAAAAATATCTGCATAACGTCGACAGTTGACACTGTATGAAAGCGACCGCCATTCACTTTCATGGATATCCACAAAGGCAATCGCTGTCGAATTTCATCGCAATCTATTAAAGCGACTTCTTTAACATTCCATTTTATTTTTTTAAATAAATGTTTTTTTCCAGTGTATTTTTATAACCCTAAACAAACATGAATGTGGGTTGGTGCAATACAAAAAATACTATAGAATGCTGCAAAGGTCACTTAAATGCGTAACTTCCTAAACTCCAGTCCTTGCAACTGTAACATTACACCTTGCAATGTCCACATGTTTTGTCCACTCACATGCAAACTAACGAATATATCATGCATGTGATAACTACTGAAGCAAACCCTCCAGGCTGATAGGGGATGAAGATGCGAGCTTGAAAATCCCTAGCCTAAATAGACCTTAACGCGAGTCGCTTGAACAGATATCTATGCCAGTAAATGTTGGTCGGCTAAGACAAATGCAATGTTGTGCTTTCAGATATTCGCCTCCACAGAGCACTACATGGGTGGAGCCACTGCGCAGAACTTGGTCTGGCATGGCACCAAACATTTATTTTGAAATGACGGACACGTGCAAGTGGATGTCTGCTTTGAATTCAATAAAAGCAGTGCAATACATTCCATTTAAATCGTGTTTTAGTTCTGGACTGCATTAGCGGGAGCCATCAAGGATGTATATTCACCAAAAAAATGACCACCCAATCCCTTATATCTGTCCCAATCCATTGGCCTATAAGGTCTATATT